TTGCAGAGCTGTTGTGGTGGCCTTTGGGGATTATCAAGGGAATACCATTCACTGAACAGCTCCATAAAGTTAACCTTGCCTGCAAGCTGAATTATCGCGGTATTTGTGAGTTCACAAACACTCGAGAATACATCTTGTACCGCTCCCGCTTACACTTTTCGAGTCGAACCACTGGGTGTGCGAGCCAATCACGCGCCAGTCTGGGGGTTTAGGGCGGGATATCCGGGTTTGACGAAAGCAAGAAGTGCCGGGCCGAAGCAAAACAAACATGGCTACGCAGGAGGACCATGGATGTATTATATTAACTGGATAGGGTATTACTAGCTTGTAGCTGAATAACTCACGTGCTCAGGGGATTCTCGCGGTACTGCAGACTAGACCAGACTAAATTCACGTGGGCTACCCAGAAATTTTCCCCATAGAACTCAATGCATATTAAAACAGCTCAACCTCAGCTGACAGAGAACCTACAGCTTTAATAAAGATCGGATTTTGTGGGGATTTTAGTGTCCCTTGTCATCCTGAACTTTTTTTCTTCTTAAATCCTTCGGTTTTGTTTAAATCCACACTTTAGTGCCACAAACTCTGCTCGTCTGGCTCTGGCTCTAACTCCCGCTCTGATGAACTGCTCTGATTGGTCAGAGCGCAGCCGAGCCCCTCTGTGCACGTGCGTGAGACCCGGTGTGAGACCCACACACGCGTGTTTGGCGCAACGCATTATGGGAGATCATCCACTGCGCAGAACCGGGAGGACCAGACGATGCCCAAATACAGGCGAGTTTCCCATAGATCTTTGCGAGTTTCAGGCAACTTCCGCTAATCTTTCAGCCCCCATGCCGTCACAAAGCGCCACTGAGCACAACCATTCATTTGAATAGGGCGCCATCTTGGATCGCCGGGGCTTGAGGAGGACGGACGCGTAGCTGAGGCTATCAAGTCAGTTTTAGCAGAATCTCCAATTTCTTTTTTGAAAGATGAACAGCGAGAGGCGCTTTGTGCATTTCTGGACGGCAAAGATGTTTGTTTTATCTACGGGTTTTGTCAAACCTTGGTAGGCGGGCACACAGCGTCACTTCGCCCAATCAGCTTCAAGTATTCTGCTGCTTATCCCTCCTTTCCCCGAAAGGATTCTCCGGGAGAAATCCCAGATTGATATCGCGGAGAACGCGTTAGAGTTCTACACAATCATCAATCTGGCTCTTGCCAGGTTACCATAAAGTCTAAAAAGCACCGTGGAGAGGTCAGGGAATGAAATTGTAGAGAGGTTTAAAGCATGGAGAGGTTATACAAGGATTTCCCAAGCTGTTTGTATGTGTTTTCAGAAGAATCAATGACTCACACTGCGGGGGCTGTGATTGGTGGCTGGAAGTCGCACGATTGTATCTTTTATGGGATAACGTTACACTCAGCCCGTCTTTAAAATCTTGGCATCTTTGTAGAAACTTGTTACTCTAAAAGAATGTTATCAAGGCATAATAACGGAGCACTCCTTCATTATGAGCACATCTGAGCCTCGAAAGCTAGGTTTGTAGTTGTAGTAGTCGTTTATTTAAGCAGTCTTACAATGTATTTTTTACAGGTACATAGAATTTCCCTTTTATCTTCTCCATTATCTACAATGCTTATCTGTAATCCAAGTACAGTATGTGTTAGGCATGTCCAGCTCACACCCAGCTTCTCCTCCTGCTGCAGCCTGCACTGAATCAATACATCAAGATCAAAGAAATCATGTAATTTATTCTTCCGCTTTAGAATCCTGAGGCGTGCTGAACAGTGTCTTATTAATGAATTATCTGTTTTTTATTGGCCTCCAAAACAAATGAAATAATACCCAATAGATTCAGATTTAGGTATCTACAGTTAAAAACAACATTGGAATATAGGCTTACTTATTATAATATTGGCGACAATGTGCATAAATGACAACATAATACTGAGCCTGAGTTTTTTCATCTGGAAGTTTGGTAAAATTTTGAATGTCATGAGTTAATTATTGTTTATTTGGACCCCATAAAAGAGAAATAAACCCATATTCCATAAAAGAAAGTTATATTTAGAAAAAAAATATTAAAAGACAAGCAAATGAACAACTTGAAATGATTGATAAACACTGTTCCCACTCCATTGGAGAATTTAGAAAAGATTTTTTTCAAGTTCTGTAAACTCTGAGGCCTAAATAGCGATGCGGTCGATGCGTGTATTTTTATTTTCTTGGAGCGCCCCCCTTGGGTGTATGGGGGGATCTGAACACCGCTCTATCAGCATTCCTGCTTCAGTGTGTTTATGTGAACAGCAGAGAGAGACACAAGGAAGTGTTGGGGAAATACAAAACACTTTATATGTCATCATTATTATATGATAAGGACTTTTGTCAGAGCAGAGTTTATGGACCTATTATTTTGAGTTCTTTGAGTATCAGTAGGAATGCTGGTGTCAAAATGTATTGGATTTCCCAAAGTGCTTTGATCTTCATGAGTCAGTAAAACACCTTGCCTGTTTATTATCTAATCATTTCAATCCATCGTGTGGTGCTCAAGTACTTCAGCTTGAAGCTTATTTTCAATTGTAGCCTATATGTTGGAATAAATGATTTTCTTTTCAAATGTAGGTGGTGTGGTTACTTACACTTCCTAGTCCTGCAAGTACCGAACTCATCTGTAGTCTGCCCCCATTCCCTCCGGGACCTTCTCTGCCATATGCTTCATTATTAATTTTTCACTTTTGTATGTTTTGTACATGTGTTAAAGGTTCATTCATAATGGACGAATCGAGAACGTGCTGATGTATGTGTTTAAGTGTGTGTTTATGCTTTAATTTGTATGAAATGTACACGTTTCAAAAAAATAAATTATTACTCATTTTTACAAGGAAAATGGTAGAAAATAACTCAATAGTGGTAAACTCTGATGAGAATAATGGCAAGACAATACACATGCAAGACGCTGATGTGTGATATAGGATTTCTGAGCTTCCTGTGTGAATAAAACCACACTTGGAAGATGGATGATTGGATCAAAGCTCAGAGGAACGCACCCGGGGGAAAAAAAAGTCTCTTGCACCCGCTCTGTATGGGATCCTCATTTCCTCCTACATCCTTGGCCTTTGACCTCTAACAACTTCCTTCCTGCTGTGGTGCCACTGGAATGTGTCCTTGAGCTGTCAGTAAAGCTCTATCTGTGCATTATTGTGTGTTGCACCACCAAAGTGAGTGCATTTCCCTTTAAGAGGCTTGGCAGTTGTGTTAGGAAGTGTGCGGAAACAGAGGGTCCGTGCAGGGGTCACCGTGTCAAACAGAAGGAGTGTAAATTCCACATCTGGGCTGGCACTTGTTCAGCGATTTCAGTGTGTAACTCAAAAGTGCCATCACTGTGAGTCTATTCAGCTGGATTTTCTATTTAAAGGTCCAGGTGGATTAAAGCGTATTAAAACGTATGTCACTTTCAAAACACAAAAAACAGAACTATGCAATAAAATCGACTCAAAAAAGAATTGGTAGAGTCAGATTGATTCTAATAAATGATTCTCTTGTTATGATTCTCAAATCATTCACAAAAAATCAACAAATAAAACAAGGATTTTTATAGAGGCCTTTGTGAAAAAGGTGATTGATATACATTTGTTGTTGAGAAAACTCATCTGCATATCTGGCAACCTGAGTCAGAGAGAATGAGAGAGGTTGCAGTACCCAGTACAAAATTATCCAGATTTTTACATACGGCTGCTTAAAAGCTTGGGTACAAAACTTTCAAACTACAAAAGCTTGATCGACATATTACATCCATTAAACTAGTCCCTCACTCTCAAAACAGTGATCACATGCATGTCTTTTTAGCCTCTGTCAGTTCTCATCCAAAAGAGTCAAATAATGACTCATTAGGGCTCTCTCTCTTTCACAAATATGCAAAAGATGTTTTCTAATCAGATAAAGACAGCATGTTGTGGTCTGATTTTTTCACTTTTTACTTATGCAAGACTCTCTCAGTTGGGAAAAACAAAAGTATTATTGTATAGTATTATCCTCCCACCTGATGAAGACCATGGAGCGGCTCATCCTCACCCATCTCCGCTCTGTAGACCCGCTGCAGTTCGCCTACAGGCCCAACATCGGAGTAGAGGACGCCATCATCTACTTACTGCAGCGGACGCTCTCCCACCTGGAGCCCGCCGGGAGCGCTGTGAGGGTCATGTTCTTCGACTGCAGTGCTTTCAAAACCATCAGACTGGCACTGCTGCGGGGGACTGAACAAGCTGGTCAGTGGGCCAGCTCCACTCTGGGCTGTCCCCTGGACTCTGTGGAGGAGGTGAGGGACCGGAGTGTGCTAGTCAAAGTCACCTTCAGTTCCTTCAGTGGAAGGCTGAGGCACCCTCAGTGTAAGAAGGAGCGCTACCACAGGGCCTTTATCCCCACCGCTGTCAGACTGTACAACAAGTCAATTAAGTCACTGTATTGTAAAAACCTGCACTACTATTGACACTGTTTCTGATTGCCACTTTTAAATTGCCACTTTTTTATTGTACATAATATATCTTGCATTTAACATGTTTGCACATTTCTTTCTTTTTGCACAATCTTGAGTGATTCTATCCATGCCAGATGTGACATGTAAATGTCTCCTTTGTGAGATCAATAAAGTATATCTTATCTTATTTCTTGGGACAGTCTCAGCTTTAACTGTAGAAATCGTAAAAATGACAAAACATTAAGTAAAAACATTTATTTTCAGTGCATAAATACAGTTGTGCTTCAAATGTGATTGAAAGATAAAGTTCTTATGTAGAAAAATATACTTATTTTGCCTTTGTATCATAGAAAACTACGATAGACTAGCTTCAGTCTGTAGGTTTGATTGTGAAGTGCATGTTGATACCACGTGGGGCATACGGAATTGGAAATGAGCTTTATCCAAATGTGAAAGAGGCACTGCAGAGAATGCGAGTAGAAAATAAAAACATAAAGAAAGAATTAAAAACAAATGCTTTGCTCCCAGTGTGTCCGTGTGCTAACAGTCTTCACTTTGTAACATGGAAAAGAAGAAGGAGCACACGCTGGCCCAGGAGCTGTTGCAGTACTCCTGCGCCACTGTGCGGTGGTCTGCGCGTCTTTTGCAATCCGTGGGGGTCACACGGTCTACCCCCGCGGGAGGAGTCGGGGTGGCGGACCTGCGAGTGGTGGTGCTGATGGTGGAGGGGTTCTTGGGATGCGGACTGGGGTCAACACCGGACTGAGCTGCAAAGACTGAAGTGCTTCTGTCCAGTTTGAAATGCGCGTCTCTCGGTGCGCGCTTGCACATCCCAACTTTCACCAGAGCGCGCTCGTCTTGACACAGACCCCCCTGCAGCTTCTTGAGTGCGCGGGACACCTGCTTGTAGTACGCCTTGGGGTTGGACTGGTAGCCCGGGCAGCTCTGAGGCTTGGCGTTGTACGCGCACTCTACATCCGTCACTCCTCCAGTGACGCGCGCCTGTGGATCCTGGCATTTCACAGTCATCTTCACTCCACGGCTCACGTCTTTGGTGACCCACGAGCACTGCATGCCGTTCTTTAGATTGAACTTGCCCCGACTCGATGCCTCCCCACTCCCCCGCGGGGCCCGGGTCACCCCCTTGGACCGGGGTCTATCACGGGCCCCGGAGCACAGGGAGAGGAGAGCGAGGATGGACACCACTATCCAAGGGAAGGCGCTGCGTAAAACCAGCATGTCTGCAGCACAGAGTAAACACCTGAGAACAAACAATAAATAAAACATATCCATTGTTAAACTATAACAGAACAAAACAAACGTCTTCTCTATTACTTATTATTACTAATTATTATTATTATGCAACTAATACCCCGGCCATAACTTCACAGTCCAATCACTCATCCTCACATCTAAACAATAATCCTACCACAATCAAATGAACCAAACAATGCGGTGTGATGTACTTACTGACAGTTGAATGGAGGAGGGCTGTTTGGTCCGGTTGTGAGAAGTGCCTGGTCGAGCACATGGCTTTTACGCACACGCACAGCTCTACACGCCCTCTCCTCCCGCCCAAACGCACTGAACAATTCATGCCAAGGACGATCCCAGACATCATGGGAATGCAGACTGTTTGATCTAGCAGACGTGATCACATAAAACCCGCGCGTAAAAGTGCGAAAAGCTTTGTGAGGATGGGGAGCACCACGCGACAGACTCACCTTTTTGTGTTTTGGCTTCATTCTCCACCTGGGAAATAAGTAATATGCAACTGATTATTCTTTAGTAACATACTCAAAACTGGTTTAATGTTACACAGCAGGCGACCTTAACTTAACAAGGTGTGGTCAAAATGCAACTCTAGAATCATAGACAAAACAGTTCTAACGCAACTATGATAGTGGACAACTGATGACAGTTCTAACTCTATGATAGATATGAGCGTTAGAAGACATGAACCTTATGTCATGATAATATATATACATCTATCCATGTCCCAGTACCTACCACCAATGGTTACCACCACACCGAGCATGGCGACGTTTCACTTGCGAAAGGCACCCTCTGCTGTTGGAATAAAGTACTACAATATTAACATGAGTGTCAGCAGCAGATGACGACGTGAGTCTCAATCTGATCTGAATATTATAACTGGAATATTCTGTACATTTAGAGACCGAAGGATGTGTATTTGAAATGGTATAAATATGTATGAACCTATGGGCCATGGGTGTGTTTAATCTCACTTTTTGAAAACTTGTTCACCACTCTGGATTGATCCTTGTCTAGAAACAGCCACGAATAGCCAATAGTTTGTTGTTAAAACCGTTCAGATTTAAAATCCTAGATGTCTTTATGTAGAAAAATTACTGGTTATGCTCATAAATCTATAATGAGCAGAGCATGCCATTAGGTTTAGGGTGTTAATTTGAGTACTTGTTTCTTTGTATCTATGATGTATATGGTTGTCAATGCTGGTTTTAATCAAACAAACAACACTTTTCTGGTACATGTGGTGCTGGTTCAGTCGCCTCTACTTGGAGTGAATTCAGAGTGAATTGTTGCAAATGGTTTTTAACGTGGCTTTGTAGCAAACAGTATGCATGAGATTAGAAGTTTAGCTGACTATGTAAGTGATTCTAGAAGAACATTGCAAGTCATTTTAGTCATCTCATAGCTTATTCCTGTAAGACAGAAGCAACTATAAGAGCACACAGCATTTTGTCCTAATACATTTGCTTTAATAGGTCAACCTCAGCAAACAGCTTATGTTGTTTTTTATTTAGCATTTGAGGTAAAAATGGAAAAACCAATCCACAGAAATAAGTACTGATTGTATTTTTTTCCCCACAGAGAGAAAAAACGTGATTTGTATTTATTTACTCCACTTCATGTTCCCTGGTGTGGGGCATAAAGACCCCATCTGTTCTGGCACACTCCGGCTCTAAAGACTCATTCATGCACTCGCACAAAGACAAGTGTGTTGCCACATGCAGACACTTCCCTGCACTCGCCTGTATTATCTTTAGTGTCTGCTTCTTGATGACTTCCTGCCTGTCGTTACTTCAGGTTAATGACAGAAGAAAAACAAAGAGCTCTTTGATTGTCACCAGTCCAGTTTATTCCCTTTTCCCGACCATCATACAAAAACAAAGTGTATTACTTAATATACAAACAAGAGACACATGCCTGTCATCTTTCTCTGAGTTACCACAAATAGTGAGATGCATAGTCATTGACTGTGGAAGATTCTAAGTCATTGCAATGCTGCTATCTGGAATCCTGGTCTCCACACTGGCAGCTCCAAACATCTACAGGATCCTTTGAGAGACTTTTAATATTTAGGTCCGATCTGAAACAAAGCAACAAAGCATTTTTACAATACAATTCGTCTCGATTCGCAAAATTTACCATTTGTTTCCATTTCTACTCACTTGAATATCAAAGTTGACTCAGTTTTGGAACCAGCCGATGAAGTAGGTGCAGATACCATGGAAACTCCTCCAGCAATACTCCGTAGCAATGCGAGATGCCTTGGTTTCAGATTGCTCCGTGGGACGAGTAGTGGTCTTCGCAGGTTTGGGAGTGGTCTTCTTGGCCTGGGGGGTCTTCCCTGGCTGGGGTCTGACCGGCTGTGGCTGAGGCTTCACTGGTTTGGGAGTTGTGACAGGTTTTGGCTGGGTTACTGGCACCACTGGTTTGCGAGGCTCCTGCACAGGCTTGGAAGGCTTTGGGGTAGCAGGTTTGGGGTAGGCAGACAGGTAGGTCATGTGAGCTTCGTCTGGGTACTTCTTGCACATTGCGGGGCGGTAAACCTTGGGTCCCTGACATGCGTTGTTCTGCTTCCTGAGCTCCCACATCATCTGGGTGAAGTAGTGGCGTGGGTTGAGGTTGTACGGCCGACAGAGGTTGGGTTTGCCTTGGAAGTCACAGTAGTAGGACTGTCCACCAGTCTGGCTTTTGCAGGACACACGCAGGCGGGTATAGTCCCCCACTCCGGACACTACCATGGTGCAGGAATCTTTGCTCTTGGTATTGAATCGAATGGGCTCATCCCAGACGCTGCGCTGTTGTGGCTGGGTCTGTGGCTGGGCCTGGGGCTGCCTGCTTTCATTGACGCTGTTGTTGTTGGTTTGTGCATAAGATACGCACACCGCTGTTGCCAGCAGTAGCAGAAGTCTCAGCCTGGTCCTCATGGTGGATAAACGGTGCAGGGAATGATGAATAAGCGGTGCAAAGGTTGGAGGCACATGCAACTGCACTTATAAAGCTGTAGTCCACAAAGAAAGTATTCTTCAGGTGAGCCATGACTCCTCCCTGGAGTTTCACATATACACATGTGGCTGATGCCCAGCTCTGTGTGGTCAGCACCAATCTTGAAGAAGTGATGGACAGGATGAAAGGGGGAGGGGAAACATAAACCAAGGGAGGGGGTTGGGATGGAAGGGGGCCGACTGGAAGCGGTCAATGGGTCTGTGGGACTCTTGAGAAGAGAGGGAGGGGTGTAGGTCTAAGGATAGTGCACACATGAAAACCAATGTTGTGAAAGCGTGGCACATTATATAATCTTATGGCATAGTGAGTTCTTTGACTATTGATGGCGGGAAACGAGGCTGAGCATATGCAAACGAAATGGAGATTCAAGTCATTTGCCCAGGAGTTAAGGCTGAGCTCTGGCTCTGTAAAGTGAAAAACCATATCGTGTTCATCTGAGGGAAAGTCTAACTGCTTCACACATTAAACACAGCTGGGGACTATAAATGCTTTAGGTTTGACTGTCCTCACGTGATATTTGCTCATGGTTAGAGGTAAAAGCAGCGGGTAATTTTAAAATCTGGCCGCCATTTTATTTGGTCATTTCTAGAGTAAAAGATTCTGATAATCTATTTGGGATGTTATGAGATACTCTTGTGAATCAAACTATGTGTGAACTATATGAGTGAATTGAACTTTAATACAGCACTGGACAAAACCAGTCAGATAGTGGATGAAACCTTTAAGCACAAATGTACATATCTGATCCACATCCACTTAATGCATATTGTACCCGTCACATCAAGTTCCATGTATTCGTACAATGCTTCTGTTGTGTTCATGTCTGTCAGACACAATTAATGATCCAAATTATTAGTACGTACATTCCTGTAACTCTGCAATTCATTCTGGAAGTCTGCAGAAAATAAATGGCTGAACTGTGTGAATGTTGCTGCTGTCTCTGGCTGTCTGATTCCCCACAGGTGTCCTTCATCGTTCCTGCAATACCCCACCATGATTATACTTAGCACTAGTCCACACTGTATGTAAAAACAGCTTTGGGTGTAATTACTGTTAAGAAAGTCTCAACATGTAGTCTATTTCATTAAGTTGTGCAATGCAGTACTAGCAAATAGATTCCAGTTACGAACAACATTCTAACTAGGTACTTGCACCACCAATACGATTAGCCTTTTATTGTTGCAATTGTTTAATTTGACAAACCAAAACACAACACTGATTCTGCTTCATAATCCTGTAGCCTTTATCAGCAGCAGAAACAGTGTTGTCTCCAATGTCAAATTCAACTGGTTGAAAATGAGAACTTTGCATCTTAAAACAAAGAGGCACATATATTTAGTTTATATAAAACACAAATATTGTGACTAAGGAAAAGATCCTTTCTTGATGCCGTAATTAAGTAGCGAAATGTGTTAACTTTTTAGAAAATAATTATAAATGTTTAGAATTACTGTTTAAACTCACCCAATGCTTGGGATTTAGGATTAGTAGATATCCTATTTGTGCACGTAAAGAAAACATAAATGTCTGTCCCTAAGTGCAATACTCAATGCTAAATCCAAGAGTGCAGGCGGCGTCTCATGTTACCATTCTACTGAATATGCCTTTAAAAGACTTCAGCTCGTGTAGAATAAACATGTGGTCTGTGTTTGCGTCCGGAGCACATGTTTCTTTAAATTGAATTAAAAGGATCCTGCTCTGATAGGATGCAGCAGCGTCACACCACCTCACCCCTCCGTCCCGAAACCTATCCACCCCAGAGCACAGGTCTGTGCGTGCTCTGGTCCTGCGCTATGGAACATGTTCTTTGGCTTCTGTGGGTTTAGCAGCTGCGGATTTTACGTAACATGGAACTCACTTCTTACAAAGAAAAAGACTCAGTGTGATTAATCACTCACAAATGTTTATTCACGTTGATGTAATTTCACAGCATTGATAATTGTCTTGGTTTGGTCTCTATTGTCAGAAGAGATCCCCAACCAATAAAAAAGCCTCACATTATTTGTTATGGTCACACAAAATGACATCACAATGACATTGACCAAGGCATAATGTACCTTAGACCTTTAAAATATATTGAAAAGTTGTGTGGAAAAAGTATATTACTTCATTATTATCAGTGAAATAGCTGCCTGGTCAATGTCATTCTAGAAAAATAACTGACATAAACAAGAGTATTTAGGAGAAGGATGTGGACAACGATAGACAACAAAGGAAAGTAACTAGAACTTCAAACTCAGATTAAAAAAAACATGTATTGACAAAATATATAAAACTTCCAATACCTTTGAAAGTGTAAAAAATATTCATTGATTTAGCCGGTCCATCGGGTGCAGTTTGAACAGAATCACCTAACTACAGAGACACAAAGTTCAAAATGTACATATGACACTATAAAGACTAATGTTGTATCAAGATTCGGTCGAAGCAATTGGCTGATATTGCAAGTTTTCTAATTGTTGTTCAAATGGCTGAAAGTCAGAGGAGATCATGGCGACCCAGTGTTTTTGGTGAAGTCATTTCATTCTGCAAAGGTAAACGCTTTTAGATTTCTTAAATGTATAGTACACAGTGAGACTAAAAAGTGAGGCTTACCAAACTCAGTTCCAGTTTTCCTGGCCGCTGTGGGGAAGAAAGCAAAATAAGAAAAGCAACATTATGTATGGCCAGTATCATGTACTAACTACTTCTTTATTTCACAGGTGGAGTAAAAAATTAAAAAAGCAGCATGCACTTAACATTGCTCAAAATACTTCATGCTTTAATATGAATTTTGTTAAATCAAGATATTCATTTTAAAGAATAAATATTCTGCAACATTTTGGCCATTAAAGATGATAATGAGACTGTCTTTATGATTTTCTTTATGTTGTAGAATATGAAATCATATTTTAAGTAGTTTTAAGTATGAAGGTGAAAAAATATTTCTGCTTGTAACTCTGTATGCTACCACCAGAGGGAGGAGTTAGTATTTTTTTCCAAATTTGGATGTGATAGAAAGGACATCCTTTAACTTGCAAAATTAAATTATGGGCAATGATTTTGTTTTAAAAAGAAAAAGTGTCCAAAATGCTCAGATTATGATGTCATAGTGAAATGTTATAGCGAGAGGGCCACTAAAGTTCGTCTCGGGGCCGACAACATGGATTTTGTTTTGGGTTTTGGAATTTGTTTTGATTCATACCACAGCTACATTAGCGCCATATGTGGACCTTTTGTTACACAATCAAAATAAAATATCAGTAAATACAAAGAGAGTTAACCGAGGGGTTGGGCTTTACAACGAGGTACAGCTTGACTATTTTGGTGAAGCTGAAGTTGGCTGGATGACACTGTGGCTTCTCAATGGCTATTTTGTGTTAACCGGGAAAAATATAATATTCTCATTATATTTACTGTTGACCAGATGCTTGTTAAGTGTTCAATGAAAAGGATGAAAAATCATGTCAGTCTGCAGATGAAAAATGGACAATTGGATTAGTTGGTGAGTAGAGGATGATTTGAAAGAAGGACCTCGTGAATACCTTCCTGCTGTTTCTGTGCGTCACCAGTCGGGGTAACACGGTGGAGCTGAAGCGCGAGGGAACCGGCTCATAGTGTCAAAATAAGGGGAGCAGCTACAGCAACACAACACACATGCACTTTAAAACAAGTGTCACAAACTTGTCCCAAAAACACAAACAGAGGTGATGGAAGACCTCAAGACAGTTGGAACAAAAGACCAAGAGATGAGGATGGACTGAGAAAAATCCCATGTGCAGTCCATCGCATGGTAGAGAAAGCGTGGAAGCTCATGTTAAAGAAGAGCCCATGAGCAGAAGCCAGTGTAAAAGAGGAAAACGGTGAAAATGGGAACCAAGGATTTAAAGACAATGAAAGAATTGAGCAGTTTCTGAGATGTTTCACAAGTCATGATGACACAGTGTTGCGGAAAGACAGGAGCCCAAAGTGAGATTGAAATGAAGAGAGGAGGAAAACCGAATGTATGAAGCTGTGGAGGCCAAAAGCAGTGGGTAACGTATGAGTACTTACTCTTCAAAGACGTCCTCTGTGTCCATCCTTCTGTAGTACTTGGCCAGTTTCACAGAGAAGATAACACTGGGGATCAGCAGCATGCAGCAGCCTCCCAAACCGAACCAAAATGTATTCTAAAACACAAACATGTTCAGGTATTACAAGGAATGTGGTAATACAATCATACAAGTCTAAGATTAAGATGAAGAGATCCTTTATTTGTCCCACTGTGGGGAAATTTCAGTTTTGTATCACGGGTTACAGAACAGTAGGCATGAGGAGAACACAGACAACTTTTAAGTGGATTTTAAATGTAGCACAACTCTGTACTATCTTTAGCATAAGTATAAAAAGTATAACAAGTAAACACATATAAATGAACCTGTATACTTTAGTGCAAACAAATATATACTTGTGTGTATACTGTATGTCTGGAATACACTGTAGTGCAAGAATATTGTCAAAACAAGTCAAAAGCTCTGAGGGTTCAAGTCCCTAATGCTCTAATGTGGTTCATTTGGGTGTATGAATCTTTCTGTACTTGCTCCCAGTTAAAACCCTTTCCACTTATGAACAGGGGTGAGGCTCGGTACATCCTGTCCACATATGTACAGTATGTTATATATTATTATATATATGTTTTATTTGCTACACTCTGTGGTCTGTTCCGCTTGATGCATTCGCTCGCAAACTAACGCACAGTAAAAGATATATGGCCTGCTAATATATAAACATGAAACTTCACTGCTCAACCCAGTCAGCGGCTGAACATAATGAAGGATCTTTGTTCCAACTGCTCTACTTCCAAAAGTGTGCGTCTGTGTGTACATGTGTGTGCTTGTGTGTGTGTTTTTGTGTGCGCTTGTGCGTGCCTGTGTGTGCTGGTGTGTGTGTTTTTGTGTGCGCTTGTGCGTGCCTGTGTGTGTGTGTATGCTAGAGGCTTGGGAACATGCAGTCCTCATATATGTGAGAGTAGCCATGTTTTATTCCCTAAGCCCTGGACTATCAAAGAGGCCTTCTTGTTTCTGGTCCACATCCAGCACACACACGTCCAGCACACACACACACGTCCAGCACACACACACACACACCCCAGTGTTCCCGCTGCTCTCACCACTGAGTCCATGATGAAGCTGCAGGCCACTATCTCCACACTGTCCACAATGTTACTGATGGGCTTGCACTGCGCCACCTCTTCACTCAGCTGTGGACACAAACCATCTGGTAAGTATATAAACCATATCTGTTTGACTTCATAGTTTACGAGATTGCCTTTTACCCACCGAGTTTTTCACCCAGTTTGTATACTGTCTGAAGTACCCCACTAGACTTTCTGTGTAGGCTTTTGTTTCCTGAAAAAAAAAGTGAAATACATTAAAACTTATACAGCCTCATATATGCTGTGCGGATGACAGAAATATGGCTGCAGTTTTATAAACCTTGAGGTGAAGTATAAGTGATGTGTAAACGTTTTTGAAACCGATGATCTGGCTCCTTTCCTGCTTGCATTCATCACAGAGCTTTTCTACTGCAGCAGTGAAACTTTTCCTAAGCAATTATCTTACCTTTTTAACCACATGTGAGGCATTGTGTGTGATGAGGTACTCCGCAGCATCAATAGCACTTAGGATATTGCTGACTTTGACCTGAAAAATATAGTCAAAAATAAATAACTATAGACATATTTTATTACACTGCAAGAATTACAGATATATAGGAGGATGTTCTACTTCCGGGTGGATCATCAAGACTTTTGGTCCTCCCAATTGTCAATCATTCTGGTGATACATGCTCGTCAAATAAGACTTAATAAAAACAAGAACAATGTGTAAAACAATGTTCTAAAAGTTATAATAAAATTAATTTATAAAAAATGCTTTCTTATAAAAGTGTGTTTTTATAACAAAGCACAACATAGCAACATAACTCTGACATATTAGATGTAATTGAATTCAATCCAACATGGCGGAAGTTTTGTTTCAAAATTTGCTTAACTTTACTTATAAATCTAAACTTTCTTCGAGTGGAGTCTCAATTTAAGGTAGAACTGTTTTCTCAATTGTTAAATATCTACGACATTAATACTCATTCATGTGTACTTTTGTTCTGAGGATAAAACATGGAAAATCTCCCATTGATTATAGTCATTACTTTATCATTAGATGTCAAGTCCATTTCTACAATACCAGACCAACACTGAGTCTTCATATCAAACATTCTAAGAAAGTCTAACAATATCATTGCATTTAGTTCATAAACGTGACACAAGATGACAGAGTTATTTGGGAAAGATTGCTTAACTTTACACATTAATTCCAACACTTTATTTGTCATAGAGCATTTTGTCATAAATCTCATGTGCAATTTTCTTGTCAATAAAGTGTGGCAAAGCTCTGGGAAAGCATTCAGCCAAAATATGGATAACTCTGTACCAAATAGTAAAGAGAATATGAAAATATTGTATTACGGTAATCCCCAAATATCAAAACAAAAACTATAAACGAATGTATGACGTGATTTTGATGCGTCTGTGTTTACTCCATTTAATGTGAATGTTTACATAAGTTTCTTAAAGGGGTGTGGCTTTTATGGCAAGCCCTTTGTGGTTTCTGTCACACTCCTTCAAAGTGGTATTAGTGGTATAGGCAAGCAAGGCAAGTGTATTTGTATAGCACAATTCATACACAAGGCAATTCAAAGTGCTGAACAAAACAAGAAAGCATTAAAAACATAAATAATCACAGAACATTAAAAAGAAAGATAAAAATATAAAATCCCTCAGTTGTATGCACAGCTAAACAGAACTGTATTTAACCTGAGCAAAGGAAGGTTTCTCACCCATCATCTGTACTTCTTAGCAAGTTTTCCCGACGTTTCGTCCTCAACCTAGCGGACTTCTTCAGGGAATGAATTCTCGGACCGCGCGTTGGAGATTTAATTTGGATTAAATCTCCATTTGGATTCTTTCCGAGAATTCATTCCCTGAAGAAGTCCGCTAGGTTGAGGACGAAACGTCGGGAAAACTTGCTAAGAAGTACAGATGATGGGTGAGAAACCTTCCTTTGCTTTGACTAATCCCTGTACGACTGAGAGCGTACACAAACTTGTCTTTAACCTGGTTTTAAACATTGTCAGAGAAGAGGCCTGTCTCACATCTTCAGGAAGATTGTTCCAGATTTTAGCAGCATGAATCTGAAATGCAGCCTCCCCATGTTTAGTTCTGACTCTGGGCACTAACAGGAGTCCAGTCCCTGTGCTCCTCAGAGTCCGGGCTGGTTCGTATGGTACTAACATGTCACTAATATATTTTGGTGCGAGGCCATGGAGAGATTTGTACACAAGCAAAGCTGTTTTAAAGTCTTTTCTCTGAGCCACAGGAAGCCAGTGCAGAGACCTGAGAACTGGAATAATGTGGTCGTACTTCCTGGTTCTAGTCAGGACTTGTATAGTTTATTTGTATAGTACAATTCATACACAAGGCAACTCAAAGTGCTGAACAAAATAAGATAGCTATAAAATCATAAATAATCACAGTATACACAATATATAAAAAAATAAAAACATACATGTATGTAAAATAGTAAACTGGCCTTAGCCATCCGCACACTCCGGTTGATCATCATTTCCCTTAGTACGAAATGTAATTTGTATGATGGTGTGGTACAACCAGGCTAATAAAATAGTAACAATGTAAAGAAGCTGTACCCGATTTTTTTTCTAATGAGTTTTAAAAAATGTGTATTACTACGTACAAGTTGTATTTTAATCCTTAATTTAATTGAAAACTTGAGCTCATTGAGTCAGCTTGTGTATGAATTCAGGCCGTATAAAAGCACTGAGTAGAGACGCCAGCTCTCCTCCACTCACAGAACACGCTGCGTCCTCTAGCCTCTACAGTGCTGCTAAACACAGTAGCATGTTAGCAGAATTGGCTATAACTCTTCTTGCTGTAACGGCAGACACAGCAAAGCAGCCCAAACGACACAACAGTGAGGAAGAAAAGACAGAACTAAAGCGAAAAAATTATCAAAAAAGACATCAAGCCTGGGTGAACATAGCTAGCTTACATTGTATCCTCTGGAGAGACTTGTCTCCAATATTACTTTTGTTTAACAAAGTAGCTTTCATGAGCTATTGACCGCGGAAGTCTGAATCTGGGAATATGACGCTAACTTTACCAAACTTCTGCCACTTGTCAACATTAAACCCATGGATGTGATCAAGCCTACGCCGCTTTGACACCGATTGGCCGAAAGGTAAAAGCTTAAACTGTGATTACTTTGTGTGTGCTTGTGTCGCGTGTGTGACATGCAGTGAGTGGGTGATGCATTTAAGGCGACTCTGAAAATACGGGACAAAAGCCGTCCCCTATCCATTCAATACATAGTTTTCAGTTTTTCAGTTCTCAGTACATAGCACATCGTTTTTCTATAATACGGGACAAGTCCGTATTTCACGGGACGGTTGGCAACCCTATCAGTGATTGTTGTACAACTTACAAGAGGTTGTGCTCATGCTAATGTTTGCATATAGATCGCAAATAAAACTAGACAGACGGCTCCGTGGAATGAGAGCGTAGGGGAAATGAGAGACTTGTGAGCGAGTTGGGGGCCAGTGCTAAACATTCAAACCTTGCAGAAACGGGTATAGCTCCTTTAACTATTTTGTATACATGTACGTAACACTGCAAAAAGTCATGAAAAATAAGTCCAAAATTGCTTAAATTTGGCAAAATGTATCTTAATTTGAACACATTGTGACTGCCTTAAAACAAGATCTGCCAAAATGATCTTGTTTATAAAAAATAGACAAAATATCTCCTTTGGAATGAGAAAATAAAGCCACAGTTCTTGAAATAAGACTAATTGGCTTTGTCCCATTGATAAATCTTGTTTTATGAAATCTAAATCTATTTAAATTAAGATAAAAGCCACTCAATTCACGCAATTATTACCTCACATTTCATAATTTTTGGTGTGAAATAAATACAAATACAAATGCTTAAACATGCTGGTAAGATGTTCTTACTGGAAGCTCTGCAGACCCCTTCTGAAGCTTCTTAACGCTCTGGGTCATTGTACTCTGTAAGCCAAGAACATATAGATTAGATAGATATAGAGATATTCATATATATATTTTTTATTCTAATATATATTTATAATAACATCTTATTGTCAACACTTGCACATAATCTCACAAAACCACAGTTCACAGAACACCACAGCTTCACATTAGCTACAGTTAAGTAATTCCACAGGACCGTACACGTTTATCAGCTTACCCGCGCTTTCACAAATTTCTGTCATCACAAAGCGAATTCAGAGAGGAAGAAGAAAACACTTGTATTTTTTGTGCAGAACATTGGGGGTTTTAGAGGACTGAATGTGTCTGGGCTCCAGGACACTCACCATGCCTTGCTCCAGAGAAAGAACCTGCTCTCTGTGAATTTGTCGGATACTGCTTGCGTGTCCTTTCAGAGCGTTTTCCAGTGCGCCACGAGGCTGGTGGGAAAACACAGAATTCTAAGGTTGGTGTGCCAGTTTAAAGCTGGGGTGTCTCGCTTGCAAACAGCAACAAAGTGAACTATGTAAGAAAATCATGCAATAGTTTGGTTCTATAACACTACTTTTCAGATATATGCAATTTTGGTCGGTCACATCTTTATATTCGCCTTTTCAGACAGAAAAGGTAAAAAGAGGGGAAAAGACCACACCAACAAACTGTGACGTTCATGAGAAAAAGGTTAGTCACATTCATGTTTGATGAAGGGCTACAGCAGGGGTCTCCTGTCATGGTTCTGTTTATTTTGATCTCTCCCTCCCATTCTGTTCTTTCCAGAGCATGTGTGAGACAGAGGGCGTGGCCGGTCTCTGCTGGGCTGCTGCATCTCTGTATATAACCCTGGTCTGCTCATCCCTCCTCTGCCATATACAGTAATTCCGTCATATCGGTAGTGCTACGCAGTGTCTTCTCTACGTACCTGGTTTTTTTGAAAACTCACTTACTCACCTGTTGCAATTCCAGATCCTGTGCTCGTCCAGTCCTCGTGTCCTCGCTCTGCTCTCCGGCCGGCCTGCTCCCTGTCTCCACTGTTCCTTCTCTTTTGAGGTTTTTTGTATTTTTGGTTAATTAAAGACTCTTGTTAAACAGCTTTGGTCTCGCTCTGCTTTGGGGTTCGGAACTCACCCATAACATCTCCAGCCTTTTTCAATCGGAGAGCTATTTTTACACAACACGCCGTGTTGTTGTTAGCGGCTCACAGGCGCTAACAACAACCAGAGCGGCTTTTAAAACTTGAATTCCCAGAGGGCCTACCTGCTCTGTTGCCATCTCACACACGCATGTGTCCACGGCATTCTGAGTGATATTATGGCTAAATGGGCGGGTCATTATGGACATGCATCCATTTTTTAAAAAAGTGTTAGTAAAAAATCTAATTAACGTGAGTTAACGCGATAATTTTGACAGCCCTAGTAATGACTCAAAATGTATTCATTCAAGATTATTTGAAATTCTAAATCCTTTGGCAAGCTACCTGAAAGGGTCTGGTGAGCTAATGGTAGCTCCCGAGCCACAGGTTGGAGACCACTGGGCTACAGCCTGAAAAGTTACACACATGCTCTGTAAATAAAAGACAATTGGGAGCAACAAAACTGTGCAGATTTGTATCTTTTTTCAAAATGTTCACTCATTTTATTACAGCTTTCTACATCAAGGCAGATGGATGTGCGGCTTTACTTGAAACCTCCTTTAAAAAGTGATGTACCCCAGCTTTAATGCAAATCACTTGATTTAAAAGAAAAAAAAGGAAAACCAGTTTCATCATTACCAGATTATCGGCTTGAGCTTCTAGGTCAGCAGAAAAAGACAACAGATCCACAAGAGTGACGCCTTTGTTTAGCTGAAAAAAGAAAGACAGTTACTTTTGTTAGAAGATACGAAAGTATATGCAGAAAAAAAGCATTTCATTGTTTTTAGAGGCTGGGATTTATTTCAAACCAAATAAGTAGATTTTAAAAGGTCGTACTCAAGACTAGGGTTATAGAGGGAGCCTTATTGACAAAAATAATTCACCCAATATATCGTATATATAGAGTATAGAGAGTATTCAAATAAAGTTATACAATAATGTATATAACTTGCTGTATAACAGTCCAGAGGAATTGTGCTAAAACTAAACTTGGATTTATAATTAATGCTAAATTAATCACAAAATTACAGATATGCAACACCATTAGGTGTTAAAGGTACTGTAGTTTTGAAAATAAATTTTCGATCATGTGCATCCAAGCGTTTCCAACCACAGCTTTCACAGTACAACGTGTGCAACAAGGATTTCCAACACTTTCATTTGAGTGGAGAGCCCTATTATCTAATGTACTGTGTAATCCACTCCCATCAACACACAGGGCTTACCTCAGCCAGGTACGCTGGGTAGTCTATGTGTCCAAGTCCTGAGTTGGCAAAGTTGAGGAGATTTTCTCTGCCAACCTGATCCAGCAGAGAGACGTCTCGCAAGTCCACCTGCACGCCCTCCAAGATCTTTGACACGTCCTTGTTGTACTGGAACAAGAAAATATAAACTAAGTCATGATGATCACACCACCTATATCATGATTCATGATGACAAAAAGTCCATACCACGGTCATGTTGAGGAATGAGTTGACGTCGAAAAGTGTGTCTAGATGCAGAGCGTGGTACAGGCCACTGTTTTTGTAGCACTCTCTGTAGAAGAAAAACGTGGAGTTCAGGATACATTAAAGTTTTTGTAATGTTACCTTTGGAGTGGTCAATTACTGATGATAACACAGTACTTGCTAACTATAAGCCTCTCCTTTTTCCAGTTATTTGAACCCTGTGGCCTATACAGCTAATGTATATATTTTTATTTATTTAAATCTTGTTTTTTGTTTTTTGTTTTTTTACTCCATCATGTTTATTATCAAAAATAGATTGGATTTACCAGAGTGCTTTGATCATCACGAGTCAACAGTACTCGGCTTAAAAGGTTTGGGAACCCCTGCAGTTGAGTATAGAATTCTTTTCTGGCCTCTGTACATTACTTCACTAGTTATTTTTTAACCCAAATATAATATATACTGTAGTATCTAAATTCCACTCCTTACATTTTAAATTACAGCTGATATAGAAAAACATATACATTCACCAATTAATTCATTGTGCTTAACTATCTAAGTTAATTAATTTGTTGTGATAAGCTACGCACGTTCAGAAAACCATTTGGCTTAAGTTCTGCATGTTTTATTTGTGTTATTCACTGTCAGAATTAAACAAATCTACATGTGTTTTAAACGCAATGCTTATAAAGTCGCAAAAATATTAATTGTCAGTTAAAAATGCAATTACATATTTTTACATATGTTTACTTAAATAAGGGAAAGATTTCAATACTTCTACCAGAGATCATTTTTCTTTAAGTAATTTATTTTATTTTATTTAAGAACCCAGGATAAATAGCTATTCCACTTCTGCTGCTGAGTGAAGACACATCTTTGTAAGAAGTGAGAAAGTCAAAATGTCTTGATTAAAAGATACAAGAAAAGACAAAACTACTTGTTTCATTGGAAAACCTTGATTTATGATTCTAAATATTTCCAATGAAAGGCTTTTGAAGCTTTTGTTACCTTATATTTGATATTTTGAACCACACTAAATATTGGCACATTTCCGGCCAGCAGGTGGCACTGTTTACCTGTACATACTTCCAATGGTCAGGTCTATGTTGGGATTTTGGAAAAGCATCCCTGGGAGAAAGTTTTTCTTTGCAGGATGAACCAGGAACGGAGTGTCGATGATCTGCACCCAAACACAGCAAACACATGTGAGAGCACTGGACCTGATGGTTTACGTAACAGGGCCACGCTCGCACTAAAGAGCGTCTATATTAAGCTGAGTGCCGAGGTAAGCGCTGATTAGAGATGGGAGAGATGCTTGGGAATGTACCTTGAATATCTGCCTGTTGGCCAGCGGCTCGCACACCATCTTCTCCACGTTTCCACCGACAACAAACAGGGCCGTGACCAGAGCCATCAGCATCCAGGCAAAGAGGAAGGAGAAGCCCACCCCACTGGGAAAGCATCATCAAATACAGTCAAACATACTGTAACAGCCAGAAATATACCAACACAGGCGTCTACTCTAATGCATGTGTTTGTATTATTGTTTAACATTGGTATAAAAACCCTAAAGACATCAATCAATAATTTCAAGTATATCGGAAACAATGTGACTGTCTTGTAAAAAGTCTTGCCTACAAAACAGGAAGAAATGGTTATGTAAGTAAAGTAAGAAAACTGGTTGAAATATGTGTTCTGTTGGTCAATATATTGATGAATATGTATATATATATACTAAATTAAAACTGTCTGAAAAATACTTGCATCTGCATCACAAGTGTTGTAAAGCTGACCTGAAGTGCTCATGCATTTTAACATTGCTATTGATAGCTTTTTAGAATGATCAATTTATTTGTTTTGTTTTTGTGGATGGATGTATTTTTGCTGCTACTGGACACCTGAATTTATCCTACGGGGATCAACAAAGTATCTATCTATATCTATCTATCTAACTTCTAATCATGAAAGCACTTTACCATTTAAGTAAGTAAGTAATGTTTATTTATAAAGCACATTTATACAGACCAAGGTCACCCAAAGCGCTTTACAATGTTCCAAGTTCAGATATTGTTTCAATCAAGTATCACTAGTCCCTCGCTCTCAAAACAACTCTATCCTCAGTTTTCCCATGCATTTTTTATGACCTCTATCACAGCTTTTGGACCACCACCCAGTCAGCCAATCAGCTCTCAGCCTTAAAGGTGCAGTAAGCGATTTTATTAGCTTAGCCATAGCACCAACTCAAAATATCAAAGGGTCTGGGCCGGTTAACTGCACATTGTGACTCCTCTCTCAATGCAATAACCATTACATTTTTTTACATAATTATTTGTTGGCTACATCTTCTATATTTTGCACATAAGAAAAAGTAATCATCAACTTTTAAACCACGCCTAAAGTTGTCTTACATTTAAATACAACACAATTTCAGATATATTTTTGGTACGTACGCCATGAGCAGGTTGCCCCCGGTGTTGGAGAGGCAGCCGCGAGTGGTGGGCGTGGCCTGTTTGTCGTAGCCACACGTGCCGCAAAGCAGACCCAGCAGATTGAAGGCCAGGATCAGGACCACCATGCAGAGGATGACGACTCCTCCAATCCACCTGCAGAACAAGCAACACCAGCTCCGTCAGGCCTGCTCTCTGTAAAACCTTTCATTTACCAGTCAATGCAGGTGCTAAACTGAAAGTACAAAAATGTGATTATGAAGATAGATGAGAATTTTATTTTACACTGATATTTTGTATGTGTATTTTTTGTGTTTGAATTATGTGACCTGCATTTTTGGAATCAATAAAAATATTCACTGAATCCCTAGAAATTCAGATTTTTTTTACACAGATTCTCTTTCAAGCAACTGAAAATATGAACATAGTATTTTTAGTATTATTTTTTAACCATAAAATTTCTAGATGATTTTATTTTCAGCGTATATTTAAAACATTTTATTTTTATTGTGTTCATTGGATTTTTGCATACTGTAACTGTTTTTGTGGATCAATCTTGGATTCCAAGAGTTTAGTGAATATGTTTACATACAGTAAAAAAAACAAAAAAATTAGGTCACATAATTCAAATGCCATAAAAAAAACTGTTATGAAATGTCAATGTAAAATTAGATAAGACAGACACAAGAAATAAAAACACAAATCGACCTCCATAAAGATCACACAAGGAAAGAAAAGGCAAGGCAAGTTTACTTGTATAGCACAGTCCATACACAAAACTTTCACAACATTTTGCCATGTTATTGTTGTGTTTGCCACTCACAATGCCTTCTACAGGTATGTTGTGTATGCAGTGTTTGTTAGAGTCATGTTTACTCTCCACAATTCAAGATGCCGTTGCTCTGACCATCCCCATTTTCACTGCCCACAGGTCTTTACTCAAATCTTTAAATACTAGATGCAGACTTGAGATGCTTAAAAGAGTAACATATGAATAAATATTTCGGGTTAGCAATCCCATCATACTCTCCAGGGGGTTTTGCACACAATACACATTAGATTGTAAATATCAACAATACTGTAGCAAACATTTAGATCTAAGACAGCCCTGATATTAATGTTATACTTAAGAAATAGTATCAGTATTTCTTAGTAACAGAATGGAGTTTGTGCTGTGATGTGTGAGGGCATTAAGGCATAAAACATAACTATGGTGTATTTAAATCATTCTTTCCCTGCATGTAACGCAATGTAATTTGTACTGTGGTGTGGTACGACCAGGCTATGACTTCTATAGACTGATAGTAAAATATATATTATGAGGAAACAAACCTGTAGAAGTCCATTTGGTCAATCTGTGGGTAATACGCCTCGATATCTTTATGGTTTTGATTGAGGAAAATGGTGAAATTGGTCAATGCTCCTTCTATTGGGAATCTTTTGGCAAAGTTGGTGATGTCTGAGCCAATCTTATCCAGCATGGCTTTCACTCCTGGACACACAGACAACAGGCTTAGCAAAAGGGAAAGAGTTCTGACACGGAAAGAGAGGAAAGAGCCGTAAAATAGAACTTACGAGGCAGAGCTGAGGATAGATGCGGCATGAGAGGACAGAACAGAGTTGACGAGTTAGTTACAACTAGATTTCTAATGTACTAGTAAGGCTTTAAGTGGTTGCATTCATGTTCTAGTTTCAGTTGGAGGACGGGTGCCAATTCAACTTTATTTTTGAAAGAAATTTAGTAAAAGAAAATTTCCAAATATTCCCAGATGATTATTTGACTCTTGATTGGATTCACAAACCTGCCATATTATTCTCAAGTCTGAAAGTCTATTCTACTGTCCAACATCGTACATGTTTTTTTATTATATATTCTTTCAATTTCCAGACAAATTTATGAGAAAATAATGAGACTATAGTTGATATGTACTTTGAAAAGATGTATAACATTCATACTGTGCCCTGGAATTACAAAGAAATTAGTACAAAAATAAGACTAGAAAAATAATGTAACTTTTGACAGTTACCATAGTTACGAGGACATATTTTTCAACTGCCCTCCATCACAGCGTTAAACTGCTGTGATGTCACATGAATGCAACCTGTTACAGCAAAGACCGAGTAGTGTACCTGCGACAATATTTCTAGTTTGTTCTTTAACCAGTTTGGGAGTGTCATTAAAAGATGAGTAGCCCTGAAAGTAAAGACAAAGAAGAGAGAAGCTGATGAAGTAAAAAGCAAAGAGTGTGTGGTTTATGGATCAAAAAAGGAAGAAGGAAATACGTTTTAAAGGACAAATGTGAAAGTCGTCAAGCAAGTCAGACCTTTTGTATAATGTTGCTGAGGTCTGTTTTGAGCACGTTATTGACATTTTCCAAGGCGTGGTTGACATTTGAGAGCTGAAAGAAAATCAAAACAAAAATAAGTTAATGAATCATTGAAAATATATAATGAAAAAAATAAATAAACACATTGTACTTTTTCAGTTTATTAATATTACACCCAATAAAACAAAGCACTATGGAGATCAGAATCAGAATCAGAATCAGAATCATTTTTATTGCCACGTGAGTAACAAAGTTACCACTTGGAAATTGTCTTGGCAGAGAGCGTGCCACTTCGCCATTTGCGGCGCTGTGTGCAGCAAGAAACAGCAGAGAGCAATAACATACAGTTCACAGACAATTGGATAGACACATTGTGATTTTTATAAACCACGGATTTTTTTCTCGGGATGAGCACCTCCGGCGGCCGGCCCAATGTGGCTGTCAGAGGGGGGCGGGATCAGGGAGGGGGTGAGTAGGAAAACAATGAGGAATGGAGGGGAGGGAGGGAGCAAGATGGATAGGTAGAGGGAGGCGGGGGTGAGGGATCCTTGCTGGAGACTGAAATAGTGTGAGTTGTTGTAGATTGTGGGACCTTGTTTATGGCCTTGGTCGAGGAATGTGAGATAAGAGTGGAGAGAAGACACAGCAGGAGAAAAACACATCGCCTGAGAGGGACAATATTATATGCAATGTAGCATCAAAAGCAGGCAGATATTCTATTAATTCCAATTAAACCGAATTACGGCGCCCTCAGACCTCCGTACACAGGGGCAAATCCAAGCCGGGTCAGAGAGTTCAAGCCTGACAAACAATGTCATTCAATCTCAATTCCAGAGTTTTATGCCCATCGAGTGAACGAGCTGCGAGATCTTTGATCAACTGTTCCACCAAAACCACTCTCCTTTGTCCAGACACGGCACTCTCAACCACGACGCGGCTTAGCTCCTTGTACATCCCATCAATTTTGTCGGCCAGCAGGTCGTGAATCTTGCGAACTGCCATGCCACCGAATTTGTGGTAGAAGAGGATCGCTCCAAACCCAAACAGGAGGATTCCCACCACCAAAATGCCAAAGATATATACGTCTTCCGAATATAGATATATATCTAATATAGATAAAGCGAACTTAAAGTAAGATGATGTCAAAAAAGCATGTATGAGATGCATCTAGTTTCAGAAAAAAATCAGTTTAATGGAGAATATTCCTCTTAGAACAACTTAACCCAGAGTGATTGTATAATGAGGCCCACCTACTGCTAGTTACATACATTTTGAATGCCAAATGTAAAGAGTGCACTTATCATATGGCTTTCCAAAATAATCTGTTATCTTAACCACACAAAAAAATGCTGCGCTCGTTAAAAAACTGTTTTCCAGACTGCAATGGCTCATGGGATACAGAGTTTTTTTAATCAAGACGTAATCAGGAAGCAATGTGGACATAGCCTAGTACAGGTGTCTCCAACCTTTGACACCCAGAGAGCTATTTTCCCAGGACGATAAAGGCAGAGAGCTACTCCTTTAATCGGCCCTGGGAAAAATGTGGTGATATATTGGTGTGAAAAAGAGCCGGATATTGGGAACAGTCATTATTTATCATCACATAGTTGTTACTAGTGACAAAATAAGTGCATTTACAATAATAAATAGTAATAATGGATAATACATGTTGGAATATTCAGTATATTATTTGATTTTTTTCATTTCTAAATCCTTTGGCGAGCTACCTAGAAGGGGGTGGCGAGCTACTGGTGTCTCCCGAGCTACAGGTTGGAGACCCCTGGCCTAGTACCTTTGATTCTTCTTTAACAAAATGTCTTCTTTTTTAATAGAAATAAAACATTTCATGGTCACAAAAATGTAACTTTCGTCCAGGATTCCCTTGAAAAAGAGGTTCTTAATCTCAATGGGACTTTCCTGGTTAAATAATGGTTAAAATAAATAAATATATAAATAAACTTGCCTTGCCTTGCCTTAAATGAAAAAAATAAATAAAAAGAAAGCCCAGTATCTGGGCCAGGTGAGGCCAAGGCGGGACTACAGAGCTTAATAAACTGTGGGGTTACCTTGGAGAAGTCAGCACTGATCCCCAGTTGGTCCAGTGTGGAGCGGATGTTGTTGCATGTGGGAGACACGGCTCCGTTGGTGCAGGCCGGGTCAGACAGGGTGTTGGACAGAGAGGCACGTTCTCCAGACAGACTGTTCTGCAGTTTGGACGTTCCTTCTTGAAGCACCTCCAGAGATGAGCTCACACTCTCCAGCGCCTCTTTGCTCTCACGCATGGCTTCAAACAGAGAGAGAGGGATTACGTTTTTAATTTTAAGTAGAAATTATACATATGTTGAATACATATATCTGTATATTCTAAAATGTATCACAGTGCAGGAGTTGTTTGGAATAAGTATAAAATGGTAACGCTGATAACATAATTTATAATCTAATCCAACCTTAAATTCTACATAAACATGTCGACAGATCTGGTTAGTTTAATGTTTCATGCCAATCAAATTAGGAGCATGTCTTAGCACAATTGATATGGACTCCTGCACTATCATCTGTTACTAGAAAAGCTTTAATATATCAAGATATTAATGGTTGTGAATATTTCTCGCTGCTACAATAATGCTCTTTATTCAATTAGCTGTAAGATGCATTTTAATTCAGATAAAACTGAAGTAATATTTTTTTCCACATGAACAGTCACTTTAATATTAACGGCTTATTAACCGAGCAAGCAAGGTTAATACATGTTTTATTATATGACTCTCGTCTGTGTCTTTACCAATGCTTCTGAGAAATTTGTGAAGTATGTTCATGTCCGACTTGGTTTTGTGTGATACGCGCTGCGGACAGATTGTCATGGTAACGGTCCGAGGAAAGATATCAAATGTGATACGCGCTGTTCGGACCAATTGTCATGGTAACGGTCCAAGATGGGAAAATATCAGACCGCAAATCAACCAATCAGAGCGCGCGTACGGTCCAAGTCATATAATAATAGTATTTATCACACAGAGACAATGAAGACCAGAGGATATTGTAACACAAACACGTTTCCACCACCACAAATTACACAGATTACACCAACAGGTAGGGCTGTAACAAGTTATTATTGTAAACTTGATCAAAAAAACAATTATTTTTGAAAACAGGTTTGTTCTCAAGAGGCATCAGTTTGTGTTGGTCAATTTTGTCATTTTGATGAACCAAATTGATGGATTAAAATAATACTCATCAGATTAATCGGTTATCACAAAAAATCTAATTACAGCCCTAGTACTGTGCAGCCACAGTGGGACAGAGGGAATCACAACAAAATCACAAATGAAACAGCAAAAAACCTTTGATCAGCTCACGTTACCTTTGATGGCACTCTCAACTTTGTCTTTAATTCAAAGATATGGGTGGCAAAATGTGTTTCAAATGATTAGCTTTGCATTCACTCCAACACATAATTGCAATTTATTTATCAAAATGGCATACCTCCTGCCATACGCAAAGCATTATCCAGCGTCGGCACCACGTCCTTTTCAAGCTGTTTGTGGATCCTTCCGCCCAACAAAGGCCCAATATCTGCAAACACACAGTCCCTCATGTTATAACTATGTACAAGACCAACTGGACATAACGCAAACAGAAAGAGCTTACTATCCAAGTCCAAGAGCACTTTGTTCTTTGCTGTGGTGTACTGGGCTGTCAGGTATTCAACTTGCTGCAACACAAAATGTAGATTTATCAAGAATGGAATCTGTGGGGAGAGGAGCCGAAATATCAAAGTGCAGATTCAAAAAATAAGAAAAATATTGAGTTATTTACTGAAGGGGTGTTGTTTGCCAGTGTCTTCAAGTCTCTCAGATTGGTGTTGATGAGGCGTCTTGTGCTCTTGATCTGAGAGCTGACATTGTGATTGGCTGTGTAGGATATAAAGACTCCCAAACTGAAAGAAAAAGATAATAAAAATTTCAGAAATCATGCAGTACACCAGGGACACCAGCAGAGGGTGGTGTTGGCTATAATATTGTAGCCTGGAATTGTAAAAGGAATATTGCTGACTCCTCAAATGTACTTATTGCGTGATTTCTTTGCTGGGTATGTACCTGAGAATGATATTACATATGGTTTTACTGGGCCGGCTCCTCTCCCCACAGACCCGATCTTTTGCTTTGCCAAGAGAATCCCACGCTTGTACTTTGATACCATAGGAAAAATAACCCAAATATATATAAAATATAAAGGGTTCACATAATAAATAATAAAAAGATATCATGAGCGAACAAGACAACAAATCTTGTTTGTTGAATAATGTAAATCTGCCAGGTTTGATTCTATTAACTGTTTTTAATACAGTTTCACCTCTTTAAACTTCAATTTCATTTTATGTTTTTTGGTCAACTATTGATTTAAAATAATCAAGCTTCTGATAATGAGAAACAAAAATTGCACTGAAAACCTGCATCCTCCTATTTACACAAAATAAATTCAAACAGACTGACAATTCCATTTAATGAATTAAATACTGTACACCGGGCTGCCTGATCGAAGGCTATAATACTAGAGCTGTAACTAGCAATTATTTGGATGTGACCATTCCTTTGATTAATCGATTAGTTGTTTGGAACTGGGATATGTGATTTTTATCTACGTTTGACATGAGATAAAAAGTTAAGTGAAGGAGGACATTCGAATAATTCTGAACAGAACTGCATCTCTGCTATTTTCTAGTTCAGTTTATGTATACATTTTTACCACATTTTACCCAGGCAGACTGCTAGAAGCGAGGCAACCAGTATGTGCCCTCTGCCCCTCCGACCACCACCAACCAATCACGCACACACTAGACTCATTCTAGGCAATGTGGGGGAAGTGTCTTGCCTAAGGACACAACGACAGTTTGGCACTTTACAGCCGCAGCCGCCCCACTGTGGCACCTGATGTTCCTAGAGGTCTCCCATCACAGTACAAACCAGGCCCTGCCCTGCAGAGCTTCAGAAGTCAGGATCTGGCTTTTGCATTTGAGTATGGCCAAAACCCTTTACCCCTTTACCCTAGTGAGTCTTGTTTTAGAGCTGATGATCGTCCCTGCTGCATTTGCACCTCTTCAAAAAAACATTTTGGTTTACAATACTTTAATTCCTACTCTTCTTAGAGGTCGCAAAATGACAGAATGAGAGTTAATGAACATATCCAGAGAAACTGCCTGAAGCAAACGGAAAACAATATTAGCAAAGCTGCCAAAGTGAAGCTAACCAGAAACAGCTGAGGGGGTGCCCAAAGAACCCCTGCACCTAACTGCCTGACAGGAAGTAAAGTAATGCTTTGAGTGAGGAGAGGAGGAAAATAGTGTCCTCTCTAACACTGAAAATGAGATCTTTTTGCATTTCTTTTCAGTGTGTGATGTCAACTGTAAATTGTGGTATAGAGAAGATATGAGACAATTCAATCAAATGTGAACCACTGAATTCATTGACCAGTCACTGAAGACAGAAAAAACAATAATAGTTTACACACCACTAACACTGCAAGAATGTGAAAGCAAGCAAACCACAACACTGCTTTAAAGAATTATATAGTTTAGTTAAAGAAAATGCTGGATTAGCTCACCAAATGAAGATTGATGCGGCAATGAGCGAGGCCGTGTAAACTCCCCGCTGGCAGTCGGCATTCTTCCTCTGCCTCTGGTGCATCTCCCCTCCACAGTTCTCGCAGCAGCGGCAGATGCAGAAACACGTGCCGATGATGGGGGTGAGCACGATGAACAGGAGGCCAATGGTCGAACAAATGAGGAACCCAGCTTCATAGTAGATTCCCTTCAAAAAAAAAAAGAAAAAAAAATTTACTATGTTTTTCAGCAAGCTTTAATGATGCGTGAGACATGTGAGTGGAGGCTTACCTGTAGTAACAGCACAACGTTTTCTGGCTGGAAACAGAAAGCAAAGGCAATAGAGAATAATTACTTATGAGTTTTCATAAATGTGTCCACTGGAGATTATTATTATCATTCTTATTATTAGCTTTTTTCTAACACAAAGGGTCCAGAGACAGGGACAAGAAAAAAGACAGGACAAGCTCAAACAAAAACAAAGTTAACGGACTGGGTATAGGCTCAGAAGCCAGTGAGTCGACAAAAATATCCCACTGACAAAAATATCACACTGAACTTCATCGGATCAATCAGAGCCACTCTGTTTTTTTCCCTTTCAAATGTGTTTCATTCTTGAACAATGTTTATCTCACACTGTGCTATAATGTAATCCTTCATGAAATGGATTTGTCAGTCCCTCGTCTTTCCTAAATGATCATATAGACAAAATGATTACGACAATTGGTGTGACACGTACCTTTCTCAACTCTTCTATTTTGATGCCGCCCATATTTTGCTGCATGACTTTCACAATGAGATCTGTTGAAAAGAGATACAAAGAAACATGTGTTTTACAATTGTGTAGTTAGTTGGGAATGGGATAATAACACCAATAGTAAGAGGTCAATGTATCTTGGAGCAGACAGAGGGAGTCCTGTCCCTCTGGTCTTGAGACTAAAGTGACTAGTAGGTTTCTTAGTAGGTAAGTTTAAACAACAGATGAGGAGGAGCAAACTAACATGCCTTGATACATCTTTGGATAAAAAACAAAGATGATAATGGATGATTATTTAGTTTAAGAGCTGGTAATAACTCAAAATGAATAATAATAATTATTATCTCAACATCTTTTACATTGTCAATGATCACCTATGTGTTGAGAGCAACTTATGACTGATTTCTACTGATTTAATGACAGTGGTCTGTGACAGGCATCCAAAGCTCATTTTGACACAGCCTAAGATGCATGAAGTTAAGAAGAATAGCGTATACAATTTAGTAGAATAGTTCTGATCTGTACATGTGGCATGAACACATGAATGTTAAATATCACTGAATAGAAGATCTGATGATTTTATTGTCTTTACCTTTATCAAGCTCTGTCGTTAACAATATAAAAAAGTCTATATCCTGATATGCTGTATCCTCCAGCCCTATGAAATATTAGTTGAATAGAATTATCAGTCTCACTATAAGATACATTTCTGGGTCGGGGGGGTGGCAGTCAGAGCTGCACCCAGTCCACAGAGCCCCAGCCCCTCACTGATCCTCCTGCAGTTGGTGAGTCCCATCTTTTGATGGGTTTGAACCCACAAACCCTTCACGCACATAGGCCAATGCTCTACTAACTGAGCCACTGTCGAGTAATGTATCACCTTGAAATTACTTTCCACAAAACATCAATGCTTATTGAATCTGAATTTTTGACTTTGCAAAATGGGTATGTTGCTCTCGCTGCAGTATGGCGCCACACATGCATCTTGCGGAGTGAAACAAGTGCTCATGTACTAGTGTGCGACAGTTTCATGTGCCTAAGTCATCATACAAAGTAACTGGATAATCAAGGCAAAGACATTATGATGGGAGCATTTGTAATCTAACCTTAACCCTAAGTCAGAGGATGGTCTTAGTCCTTGTTTGACTCAGAGGCCACAGAAGGAGGATGTTTTGACACCTCCAGGTGACATGCTGCTAAAGCTGATCTGCTGCTCACATGTCGGCTCTGACCTGAAGGGAGTGGAACATCATGTCTGTCCTAAACCTGAAAGTATTAGGTTTAATACTTTGTCGCTGCCATGCACCAGAAATGACTAATATTTCACCTTTAGGGCCAAACATTTTCATCACATTTGGGCCTAAATTCGAAATGAATTTAGGCCCAAATATGAATTATGTTTATATTAATATATGTTTCTTATCAGTTTATATATAAAAAAATGCATATTTCAGACTACACAGAAAAGTGAAAAGGCATCCCTACATGGTCAAGCTTAGTAAAAGGTGGTCATCATGGTGGTCTTAAGAAACTGTGGATAATCCTCTCAACACCACCTTCTCCTAATACGTCAGGAAGGGAAGAGGAAGAGGGCGTTTTTGTCCCAACATCTTCATTCTTGTGCTTGACACGTTTAGAAATAACCACTGCATCACAGCACCAAGACAAGAGCCAGTTTGTTGTTTTGACACAATAAAGTATGTTGATGCCACCTGTTGTTGCTCAGGTTCTTAGTTAGCATTAGTCACTGACAGAAACTAAGCTTAGACAGCTTAGAGGAGTGACCCAGAAAAAGGAGGCAACAAAAGGAAATAAGGAGACAAGCATGTAAAGAAACATGACGTTGACCCGACACTGGCACTCACACGGAATGACAATGTAGTGGTTTGCATACAAAGCTATACGCGTATACGGAAAAAAATACACATAAAGAAATATTCAAAATGTATATTGCATAAAGATGTTTTTGAATAAGCGACTCTTGGTTGTTGATAAAAATATAGACAATCCTTGAGAGTGACCTACTCTGAGGGATTATGCCTTATGCAATCCTAAGATCATTGGTGCTGTCAATAGAACCATATTAGTTTGATCACAAAATATTTCAATTCATGGTACTGAATTCAATAAAAATTAATAAACCATCAGCTGTAGAGTCCACAAAGAATAACAGTAACATCCCTCCAATACAAGCAGCTAATTATGACGTCTCAGCTGTGTTTTAAGTTAACTTGAGCTATTTAAAGACAGATAATTCTGTCAGGCCGCAGAAAGGTTAAGGCCTATTTTGATTGCACTAATTACATTTCAAGGGAAAAACAAACCAATATAAACCAATGTTGATATTGTGGCTTGAACCTTAAAGGAATAGTACACCGTTTTTACATACTGACATATGTTCTTACCTTACCTTAGACTAGTTAATATGTACCTGTCTGGTCTTAGTCCGTGCGCTCTGTCATGCAAACGGAGCAAAAACGGGAGCACAAACGCAGCCTCCTCTGTATACTGTATAGTACCCAAAAGGTAGCTCCCGCTAGAAGCTACCAAACTCTTCCAAGTGTTCCCTATTAAATGTATATAGTTACATGACGTGTTACACTGCAAAGTATAGTAACACAGAAATATAACTGTCAATTTTCTCAGCGGATAAAACGGGTACTATATTGTGAGGCGTAGTAATCTGAGGAGCGCTACGTCCGCGCACTAACTTCTCTCCGTACTACAAGTCACGCTGCTTCTATTGACGGAAGTGAGCGAGAGAGAAGTCTCCGGAGAGAAGTTAGTGCGCGGACGTAGCGCTCCTCAGATTACTACGCCTCACAATATAGTAACCGTTTTATCCGCTGAGAAAATCGACAGTTACATTTCTGTGTTACTATACTTTGCAGTGTAACACGTCACGTAACTATATACATTTAATAGGGAACACTTGGAAGAGTTTGGTAGCTTCTAGCGGGAGCTACCTTTTGGGTACTATACAGTATACAGAGGAGGCTGCGTTTGTGCTCCCGTTTTTGCTCCGTTTGCATGACAGAGCGCACGGACTAAGGCCCCGACTCCACCGGGCGCGTAAAACGGACGACGGATCCGTCCAAACATGTCCGTTTCATCTCCGTCTCCGTTATCTCCATGAGAGTGAATGGAAGTGGCTCCACTGCCTCCGCATGCGTCCGTCCAACGCACGTCGGACCTATTCCGTCAACGGAGGGTGCAAAAGACGTGGACGGACGAAATAGAAACAATCCTATTTGTTCCGTCCGTCGACGCGTGTCGGGTCCGTTTTCCATTGAAAATGCAATGGAATAATATATTTACAACATTGTTAAACATGTATTGATATATGCTGTAGTCCTTGGTTATAAGTATTTGTTAATGACAATGATTATTAACAAACGTGTGTAATGTTTTTCATGTATTAATTTAAATAATTGTTTCCTGATCGTAAATCTACCATTTATTTTTCGCGTAATGTTAATCTTTACATAAACCTCGCTCTTCTGTCCCGTCTACCTCCGAGGCGCTCTCTCCTCACCGCCGCGCGCTCCCAGACAGACAGACAGACAGACAGACAGACAGACAGACACACACACACACAGAGCTGCACTTATGAGAGACAGATCTCACAACACTGGATATGTTGGAGTTCTTTTCTCTCTCCCCTTTTTCCAATTGCTTTCAATAAGTTTTGCCTCATCCATCGCGACGTCCTCAATGCTTCAATATGCTGTGCTTTGCACTGATCATAGCCACAGCTCATTCAAATCACACACCGCTTCTTCTATTTAAAACTATAGCTCTGCCTGTTGCCTAAAGCCGCAGAGAGGCGAGTTGGCTCCGATAAAAGTGTATCATGCGCTAAATAAGTAGAAAACAAACGAAGAGGCTGGATCATAATAAACGCTGCAGTCACAGACCCAAACACACATGCACGCACACGCCTCCCACCACACACACACACACACACACACACGGGCGCTCTCACGCACACGCTCACGCACACATGCACGCCGACAATACATAACTCCTCCATCAGCCAAACATTCATTCATTCACACAATGCCCAAACATGTCTCCTACAAAAATAAAGCAGGCTGATAAACGCACAGCCAGAGTTGCATGCTGCTGCAGCCGGTTTGACCACTGGTCCGTTTTACGGACGGCTGACGGACAGCAGCCAACGCGCGTCAACGGAGACGCGCCCGGTGGAGTCGGGGGGTAAGACCAGACAGGTACATATTAACTAGTCTAAGGTAAGGTAAGAACATATGTCAGTATGTAAAAACGGTGAACTATTCCTGTCATACTTGGTACTGTCTGTGTTTGATACATTCAAAACATGAATATGACTTCATATTTCATTATTATCATTACATAAATAAACATTTTCTCTGAACTGTTAGATAATTTGTACCTATATTATATGTGGTAAAAGATTTAAAACATAGAGGTAAAGCTGCCCTAATTTCCATCAGTTGTCCCACAAATGCATTCACAACCACAAACTCATCTATCGTACATGTATTGTACAGAGATAGGGGGAACCAGAGTACCTGGAGGAAACCTCCGCAGACATGGGGAGAACATGTAAACACTCAGAAAGGCCCTATTCCAACCAGGATTCAAACCCAGGACCTTCTTGATGAGAAGTGAGAGTGCTATCCACTCAGCCACTGTGGCGCCCAAGTTGCATAAGGAAATCTTCAATATTCAGAAATTGTTTGTGACGGGCCCAAAGCCTTTTATGGAAAGAGATAGAAATGAAGAGACCAAATCTGACTTACACTAAAACTACTGTTTTATGCCCTGAGGGAGGGATCAAATGTATGAAGACAACTTTCATGAAGGGACTTTAAAGTGTACCATAACCACCCACATTAAGACAAAGAAAACATCCTTCCATATTTTTCCAAACATTTACTGTGCCTTTTTACGGTATTTTTTGTGTAACATTTTCCTCTCAGTTGTGTGATTTGCTGTGTTTTATTTAATAATAGTTTTATTGTTTTGAAAATACAGACTGGACATAACCATTTTCAAGTAT